AATTGTGTCGATGTGCTTCTCTTTATTCAAACAAACACTTAATTTTACTCGAACTGTGCTCCCGTCTCATTGGAGAAATGAATATTAGAAATCACTGGATCAGTGAACATTTTCATCTCGTTAATAAAATCAACGAAAACAATATAAGGAAATGTTGCATAGTTTTCTGTGCTATGTCAATGTCAAACTGAAACATTCTCAAACTGTCAGTAAATTGATGTATTCTTCTATCAAGCGCAGTCAGGGAAAAAAATATTTTAAATTTTTTAGTTTTAATTAATCTAGAGTTTTACGGCACTTGCAACACAATACGGTCATATAAGTGTCGAAGATTAGACGTGTTACAAGAGAGTAACAAACATAAAAAAGAAGGAGAGATAAAGACAATACGTGTAGATGTTTGATAGGAAAGAAGGAGCAAACCACACCAGAGCACACGCCCACACTAATCAGGCGTTTACGAAACGCCCACACTAATCCCGCGATTATGACACGCCCACACTAATCCCGTGTTTACGACACGCCCACACTAATCACGCGTTTACGACACGCCCACACTTATCACGCGTTTACAAAACGCCCACACTAATTACACGTTTACGACACGCCCACACTAATCACGCGTTTACGATACGCCCACACTAATCACGCGTTTACAACACGCCCACACTAATCACGCGTTTACAACACGCCCACACTAATCACGCATTTACAACACGCCCACACTAATCACGCGTTTACGACACGCCTACACTAATCGGTAATCACGTGTTTACGACATACCCACACTAATCACGCATTTACGAGACGCCCACACTAATCAGTAATCACGTGATTACGATACGCCCACACTAATCACGCGTTTACGAGACGCCCACACTAATCAGTAATCACGTGTTTACAACACTCCCACACTAATCAGTAATCACACGTTTACGACACGTCCACACTAATCACTTGTTTACTACACGACGCCCACACTAATCACGCGTTTACAACACGCCCACACGAATCACGCGTTTACGACACACCCACACTAATCACGTGTTTACGACACACCCACACCACGCAGCGTGACACACAGGCCTGAAAAACCAGCAGTTTCATCTCAGTGCTCGTGAAGCCTCAGTCCATCAGTCCCTCAAGTCACTCGAATCAGGCCCCCAGTCATTCCATCCCCCAGTCATTCAGTCCTCAGTCACGCAATCCCTTAGTCACGCAATCCCTCAGTCATTCAGTCCTCAGTCACTCAATCCCTCAGTCCCCCAGTGCCTCAGTCCCTCAATCCCCCAGTCACTCAATCCCTCAGTCCCCCACTGTCCCTTAGCCACGTCTGGAGAAAAGAACACCAGCAATAAGAACGTATTTGGTTTACTGCTTGCTTGGCTCCCCAATGTTCCACGTTATGCTACATGTGCTTTGTCAGGTTTTTTAAATTTATTTTGTTATTCCTTAGTACATATTATTATAAATCATATTATAAATAAAATAATCGATCACTTAGTTACCAAAACTGACCCTCATTTTTGTTTTTGTTTTTAAATAGGCCTAGATCTAGATACATGTACATAAAATACATTGTACATGTAGATCGCATGCACTTGCACACCGTTACGAAAACAGACTCTCTTTATTCTCATCCGGGGTGTAGATAGATGATTCTATATATATATGTGTAGATAGATGATTCTATATATATATATGTGTAGATAGATGATTCTATATATGTGTAGATAGATGATTCTATATATGTGTAGATAGATGATTCTATGTGTACATAGATGATCCTATATGTAGATAGAGGATTCTATATATATGTGTAGATAGCCCACCTCCACAATAATCTATCACAGCTCTCGATGCAAGCGTTCAACAGACCCTACATTTTTTTAATTGAAGGGCCACATTACTTACCCTTACACTTACAGATATAAAGAAAAAATGAAATATTTATTATAAAAAAATACCTGAAAAAAAAAAAAGCTGTTAAGACTACACTTACGTGATGTTGACAAAATGTTGCAATATGGTTGTGAGGCAAGTACATGTATTGTAAAGCGACATTATTCAAAATTTGAACCCTATTACTAATTAGTCGAAAAATGAGGAAACTTTAGTTTCTTTCGTAATAAAATCTTCGACACCTTGTGGCATAAGACGACAGAAAAAGTGAAAGTAAGTACTGGAGAGTAACATACAAAGAATAGGAGAGATATTATAAGGATAATAGAAGTTTAACAGGAAAGAAGGCACAAACCACACCAGAGCACCCACTGACCACTCACGTTGAGTTGTTGTTTTTTTCTCTTGGGGTGAGGGTGGGTTATTAAAAAAAACATTCCCTTCTGAGTTCCCAACTGGAGTTGGTTTGCAGGCTTAGGACTGCCGTAGGCCCATTAAAATGTTTTTGTTTTTGTTGTAGAGAGGTTTCCACAACTAGATGGCTAGATAGGACCCCAGTAGAAGCTGTGAGCTGGATGATGAGTTGGAGAGAGGTTTCCACAACTAGATGGCTGAATGGGACCCCAGTAGAAGCTGTGAGCTGTATGATGAGTTGGAGAGAGGTTTCCACAACTAGATGGCTAGATGAGACCCCAGTAGAAGCTGTGAGCTGTATGATGAGTTGGAGAGAGGTTTCCACAACTAGACGGAACTCAGTAGTTACTACTAGTAGCTGTGAGCTGGATGATGAGTTCAAGAGAGTCCCCGGGCCCGCGTCTCCCAGCTATCTCCTGTCCTCATAGATGTCGCCACTTTTGTTGATAGAAGTTTAAAATCGTTGTCTGTTAAGTTGTCCATCTGCTCATCACCATTACACCTTCCATGGCTGTCAAGTGCTGAAGTCAGTGACGTGCTGGGGTCACAACAGTCGACATTTCTATTGCAGGTACAGATGAAGTGCACTTTAAAGCAAAATAAATTCCTTGTGTCAACTCTGCTCTGTCTGAGGAATCAGTTTCATTTTCCTTGTCATCAGCATTGTCCTTTGTTGTTAAATCTGTAAGTGTAAGCAAGTCTGTTGCTGGATTGTTGTCATGTGTCAAGGAAACAAGGACAAAATGGAGTCTCCAGAACCGCGGTAGATCACATTACACATCGAAAATAGCAAATAAATCATTTTACAATAGTATATTAAATACACGCAGATAAAAACGTGTATTTTCACTTCATTTATAGCAAGTCATACAAACATTGCAAATAAACCAACGTAATTTCTTGTCATTTACAATCAGCTGCGCATAACTGATAGGAATGGACTTCAATTTATCTCCAAAAAAACGCCCTGATTTGTGTAAATCCACTTGGGGTTCAAGAACAGATTATGAAAAAAATATATCGAAGGGCTCCAATTTTATCTGAGTAGGCTACTTGGCAAGTGTGCAGTGGGCATTGCTGAAGTCACAAGAGCTGGAATTATCTTGACACCAAACTTGCCTGGCTTGTCTGGGCAGTACACTGGGTAGCTGAGACTTGAGACTGCCATTCCACGCCAACACGCCTTTGTCGACAGCCATGTTGATGGTCGGGGTAGACGTTGGCGGTGAAAGTTTCCGTAAGTTTGTTGAGGAAAGGACAGATCTAGAGGAGGGGGTTGCTGCCTTCCTCTCCCCTGAGAACATAGTTGTCGATGTCAGTGACATGGAGGACAGTCAGGATAGTTTTTTATATGTACCTTATCATGTCGTTGTATAGGTTTTTTAAAAGTACATACCAACACTATTAGGCTATTTAAGTGGCGGGACCCCCAAATTTTAAAGTCCGTCTTCGATAGGACAAAGGCGTGTGGGTTGAGAGCTTTGAAAACTCCACAAACCACCAGAGCTCATGAAGGCCCAGCCCGGTACTTGAACCAGGGCCATCTGCTTTGTCCACAATGATACCAACAGAACTAATCAGAGGGCTCCAATTTTCTCTGTGTACCCGGCAGCTCTGTATCTGACTTTGTCACTTTGTGCAGAGATTTGTGCCTCTGTTATAAACCTGTAACCGTGGTTTTATGAACCCCGCATAATTTGATCATTTTTTGCATGATTTCTGGTTATTTCCCTTTATCATTCTTTGTTAAAAATTAACAGAATCGCATACTTTCACATTTTTTTGGGTTCAGTTTGCATAATTTCAGAATTTTTCTTGCATAAAACGACGGGGGACAGATAAACAAAGAATCTATGCCAGTTGCAGATTGCCAATTTTATCACACCACTTGGCAGGTCTGGTACCTTGATACTCATGCACAAGTTGTGGTACGGAATAGCCAATACAAAAGTATTTATAAGACAAATAATACATAAATACATTTTTTAAAACAAAAATCAATTATTTGACTTTGTTAATTTTTTTCTAGTACAGGTTTATAGTCTCTAGCACCACAAGAAGTCTCATTTATGACCAGGTTTGAAGATAGCAGAGCACAGGGCTGTGTCAGCTAGAATACAAAGTCAAAACTTCGATCAAAAGATTTACTTACAAGAAATAGGCTACATACTTGCAGAAAAAAACAAAAAAAACAGGCCATCTCATCAGTTTGTACAAAGGGAAATAACTCATTAGGATATCGTCCTTAACCTAGTCGTGTTAGAGTCATTTCCGTTGCTATTGGGCAGTCAGGGGAATTAAACAAAGGACAGTATGAAAAACCTGTAGTGTTACACTTCCAGCCCCAATATACATGACATCTTTTACTAGTTGTGGCAGTAGTCAAAACTTACATTTAACAATTTACTTACAAGAAATACATACATACATTAACCTTTCCAGCCCCAGCCATTTTTGTGCACTCCCTTACCCCAGTCCCAGCCAATACAGCAGTATTTCACAAAAAGAGGCATGCATTCTAAAAAGTGATGTAGTATCTTTGTAATGAGGGTTTAGATAATAACATATAACAATTTTTAAAGGTAAACGTACAAATATTATGAAAATTAAAGTTTAATTAGGTTCGCTAATTCCGAAAATGCGCATATTCGATACCCCCCGAAACTGAGTATATATGCTCTTGGGACCAAGGGAGGTGAAAGTGATGAAAGTGATGCTGAAAATATACACGCATGGGGCTCGAAGGGTTAAAAAAACCACAAGAAATTCAAGTTCGGACTTTCGTTCAACACACCAACAAATTATGTCAAACAGCTCACATTTTGCACACTTGCCTATAGACTCTCCATTCATCCTTCACACTGGTGAGTGTAGTACTGTGTTGGCCATCCAGCTCAAACCTCTCCACACAGTCTGCTCCTGTTTCAGCACGACATGTGTCTTGAGGTTTGAACAGGGTGTTCACCCTTGCGCCACGATGAGGCCCAGTACTTCCAACTTCTGCAAGGGAGGGGATGGGGAAGGGGAACTGTGGCAGTCTCTGCTGGACATCCAGCTCAGGCCAGTCTTGGCTTAGGTCTGCTGAGTGGCCACGTCTTCCGGCTTCATGACGGGCTCTCCAGTGACTCGTCCTCTCTTGCCGGTCCAACGTGTCTCTCCGTCCTCTGGTGGAACGCCTGTTTTCAGGTGGACGTTTTTACACAGTGAAAAAATCTATGACATCAATCACAATTTTAAAAACTTCTAAGGTGCCAAATGTTAAACAAAATTAACAAAGGCAAAGGCAACCTAAAGTCTGAAGGCAAATTTTGTTCACTTAAGTTGTCCCAAACTGGAGTTTCTTTTCTTAGAATCTTGCTTCCGAAGAAGTTTGACACTGAATTATTTCTGCATCTCAACTTGGACAAAGTTCTGCATTTTAAAACATAGCACACAAAATAAAAAGTCACAAAATATAGCAACACTCAAACTGTTCCAAGTTCCAAGATCTATTCAACATAGCAAACAGATCTGCACTGTTTCAAAAACAAACTGTAACCTTCCATCCTGTACATATCTGAATCTCTTTATAAACTTGACGAAACAGTGTTGTAAGACGGCCAAAAAGTGCAAGGCATGAAACTGACATAGAGGAGAACGATGGCAAAGATCACTACGCTGTCTTAAACCTTCAGCTTTGTGCTGAGACTGAGGTCTCTACTCTGTGCTCTCAGATGTTTTTCCTTCGAGTCGTCTGAACGCTGCACCGGCTCTAGCAACCGTTACTGATCTCTGTGTCTGTATTGGCTGTTTGAGACAGTCTGCTCCTAAGGTAGGTGAAATTTTCTACTGCACTTGACTCTCTCTGACATGAACAAAATATGAGACCGCAGGCTCTGGAGAGGTACACTTATGCAAATACGAAGCTCTCCGAGAGGTGGTAACAACACTATTTTCATCTCTTTTGTTGGCAAAGAGGTGTTCTCTTGCTCAGAGCAGTTGTAGGCAAACAGAAGATACCTGATGATAATTTTGAGTACCTTGCCAACAGGCGCAGCTATGAGATGACTGAGCATGAAATAAGCAAACAACTGTTGAAATGAAGCTTGTCTACTTTACTGGTCGCTGCCATTGAAGCAAAATAATTTTTTAATCTATAATTTTGTCCCGTGCCCGTTCCTAGCATAGATCTAGAATCTATTATTATAAGAACGCCATCATGAATAATAATCAGTACAACCAGGGGAAGAAAGTTAGTAGGTACACAGTACTAAGAACAAAATAACAGTAAACACAACGCAAACAACACCTTACAAATACTAGACAACACAAAATCGCAAACACACAGAACTCGAACTACGACAGTACCATAATATTATTGTCAGCTTAAAGTATTTTATATCCTAACATCCTCTGCTCCCAAAGAGTCACGAGGCGGGCACTTTCCCACATTCCCACTCCCTAGTGGAGCAAACCAAATTTAGTTCATCGTCACCAGACAAAAAAATAGGCCGAAATATGTGCGCTCAGTCTCATCTACTGGTGACTATGTTAATGGGGATCTACTCTAGGGGCAAGGGCTATGGAAAACAACAACACACACAAATATTATACACATATTTGTCTCTACACTATGGCCAGCCAAGTAAACCGAAAATCCCAATCATCAAACCTTTACACAAAATTTAAAACTGCTATCATTTAAAACGAAAAAGATGGGCCCACTACCATACCCCTTCTTACCGAATACAGGCATTCTGGATTCCCTTGCCTTCCAAAACTGAAACCCAATATGAAAGGTCAAAGGTCAGTTCCCCCTTGACCCCTGAACTGTCATATTTGATAACAATATTGGACTTTCAGCCACAACAGCCCACACCCTTAAAATAGTTCTACCTTTTTCATATCAACTACTCAAAAAAATATAAAATATTCAATTTCATGTAGCTCGTGGATGTGTTCCACCAACTTCCCTCAGCTCCTTCAAAAATTGCCCTGCCCAAAAACAAACTGAGCTGTCGCTATCGTTGTTACCTGGCTTTCTGAGACTACCGTCTTCGACTTCTCCGACTATGAGGGATTGAGCGTCATTTCCCCTTTGACACCCAACCCCTCATACCCAGTTTCCTCTTCAGACTGAATAGCCCCACCACCCCATGCCTTTCAAAGCACAAGCCCCACAAACAACTTTATAAATTAAATAGAAAACAAAAAACAACACAACTCCCAGCTGTTAAATATATCTCAGCTCTCCTCATTATCAATGGAAGGACTTTCGTAACGAGCGACCATCTCAACAAACAATAAAGAAGAGACCAACCTCAAACCCTACTCCTACCCCAGCCCACTATTCTTAGTATTCTACTCTGTCTCATACTTGTGGTTGCTCGTTATGGATATCCTCCCTTATCAATTCCTACAGCTGTCTTATTCTCCCTCCTCTTCCCCTAAAAATATTAATTGTCTTTTTCCCTTGCTACAACTAATAAAACTAATGATCAGCGATGACTTGACTGGCTATATATATATAATATATGACAAGAGACAAACAAAGGGTCGGTGTTAGTGGGTTGTAAAGAAGGTGAAACCTATTATTATTATTGAGACTGGCGCACTTCCTACCACAAATTACTGGTTGTACTATGGCGTCTTACCTTTATCTAATAAATTATAAACTCTAAACATTTAACTATTTTAAGACGATGAACACATTAACAACACACTCATCCATACATTGACTTTTTATCTACAACATAAAAACAAAGAAAAAAATGTCTGCAGGTTCCAATCCAAGTCATGGACAAGCCAATTCACTGAGAGAGAGAGAGAGAGAGAGAGAGAGAGAGAGAGAGAGAGAGAGAGAGAGATCCCCACAAAACCTATTAATTTATATTAAAGTGAACAGTCTGACTCTGGACTTCAGACATGCATGTATACACTAGATCTAGATTAGATCTAGATTAGAATCTAGATTCTACGTGGGCAAAAACCAAAATTACAAAAATCCTAAAACCATACACACATCGATAGAATAATAGAATACAACTTAAACAACACACACTTGCCACACATACAATACAGTACAGAAGTTCATCACTCAGACTCAGCGATCTAAATCACTTAGCCACCACCTAGATCTAGTCCTATCCCTTCATCGGTTTCCGCCACATTACGTCATATAAAGCTATCACCTCCCCACACCTTGGTCCTGTAGCCCACCTCACCTCTCTCCTAGCCACCCGCCCCAACCAGTCCCTGTACCATTCTGGCCCTCCAGCCAAAGGAGCACTGACAATTGGCTCACCTTCACTAGAGATATCTACCTCAAACAACAGCCGCTCTCCTTCAACATTCAAACCGACTAAGAAATCATCACGTCTCACCTCAAATCCCAAGAACATGTGCGGTCCTTCCAGGCCATAGAACTGACCTTCCACCAAGTCAATACACTCTATTACTGCTTCATCTGGGAGAAGTGACGCAAAATTCCCCATGGCGGCGGTAGAGACAAAGAGAAGGCAGGACTCTTCTAGAATCTAGAGATTACTTCAGTACAGGAACGAATCGATCTCTGGAAGACAAAGATACTAAAGATCGACGTGAAATCTTCAGAAAAGCGACTCGACAGCCAAACAATTGTTCTAGATAACTTGCAAATCGTCTCAAACTAAATGCAGTGAGTCAACACACTTCAAACAGAAGACAGCTTATTGCAACTCGCTACACTGAGCAAAATGGCGACCAATATGGCGACTGACTTGGACGACATCCGCTCAAAGATTTTTCCAACAATTCCTTAGTAAAATAAACCGGAAGTTTATAGAATGGAGGATAGCGGATGTACCTCATGAAAGAGGCAAAAAGCATTGTTCACTAAATAACGTCCATCACACAAATTAAATGCGCAAAATAAATTTAGATCTGTCTTTTAAACGTTTTTTAAAAAGTTTAACGGCACTCGCAACACAATAAGGTTATATAAATGCCGAAGATTAGAGGTGTTACAAGTAGTAATAAACACAAAAAATGAGGGGAGATAAAGACGATACATGTTTGATAGGAAAGGAGAAGCAAACCACACTAGAGCACCCGCCAACCACCCACTTAAATTTGTTTTGTTTTTGTTTTTTAAAATAAAGTTGAGTCAACTACATGTATACAGATCTATTTACCTAACATTATTATTTTCCTCATTAATTATAGTATAGGCTATGCTATTATGTTCAAAATCATAGATCTATACAATCATGTAGGCCTAGGCTAGGCCTACTCTACCCTGTCCTGTATAGTTGGTGTAGGCCTACCGAGTCAAAACACCAACCTCTGTAATACAATACTGTCCCCGAGGTTTTTTTATGCACCCCGCATAATTTAGCAAAATTTGATCATTTTTTGGGGGGCATAATTTCTGATTATTTTCCTTTATCATTCTTTGTTTTAAAATAAACAACAACAGAATCGCATAATTTCATATTTTTGGGACTCAGTTTGCATAATTTCAGAATGTTTCTTGCATAAGAATAAAACGACAGGGAGAGATAATAATATTCACTAGGACAAGGTTATGTGCCACTACCACAATGATCAGACTTAGAGATCTTGAAACTGCAGTTCGGAAACAAGGGTTCTGAAGAATGACGTAACTGTTCTAGAAGCGGCAGCAGCCCTTCGTTTGAGGATTTGCAAGAGTTTTACGGCACTTCTAACACAAATAGGTCATTTATAAGTGCCAAAGATTAAAGGTAGTGCTAGAGAATGACATACAAAGTAATGAATGAAGGAGGAGAGACAAGACAAAAATCGATAGATGTTTGATAGGAAGGAAGGATCCGACAAAGCCCATCGGAGCACCCACCAACCACCCACAACCTTTTTACGAGCTTTCAATACAGTCGAACCTTGTCTAAGGAACACATGTCAAAAATATTCACCCGTGCAAACAACCACTTTCCACTCCACCCCTCTTGCGTCTTTTTCAACTTTTTGTGTACAATAATACTACTCCATGTATAATGACACTGCCCAAGACTTGAGCCGGATTGAATAATCTGTAGTCTACGCTTTTCTCCTACCTGCCCTTCCCATTTTGTGAACATCTGTGGGAATACTTTCCTTTGGAAACACGCTTTGAAACAGAGGCTCGCTGAAGTAAGAGATCAGAAAAGGCTCACCCAGCACACTCGTCAACAAAGGATGGTAATACTTGATAGAGAGAGAGAGATAGGGGGGGGGGGAGAGGGGGGGAGAGAGAGAGAGAGAGAGAGAGAGAGAGAGAGAGAGAGAGGGGGAGAGAGAGAGGGAGA